GCCGGTGGAATAGGAACCGGACTGACGCTCCCCAGAATGGAAATGGAGCCAGGGCCATAAGGACCTGTTTCAAAAAAAAAAAAAAAAAAAAAAAAAGATGAAGGTTGTGGTAGCACCATTTGCCCAGTCTCTGGGATGGTAAAACTTCTTCTGAGCGTAGCGCCCGGCCGTTATGACAAGATCAGGGCACCCAGCTTGCTTGCACTGATAATGGGAAAAGAACATAGCCCTTGGGAACTCCCACTCCTGGCATGTCTTGGCCCAGGTGCTGTTGCCTTGCCATCATTGGGCTTCGGTTCGGATAGCTTCACTTTGTTCTTATTTTGATGATTGATCCAATGTCTTGGTTCTCTTGGCATTCTGGCACATCGACGTTATAGAGTGTAATTGGGTCTCTTGGCATTCTGGCATATCGACGTTATAGAGTGTAAATGCAACTAAGTTGTTAATAAGTCGTTAATACTACTTAATAGTACTTAATGGGCTTCTGCTACTCCCTGTTTGAGAAATCCAAAAATCCATATGCTTATCTCTCTCTCTCTCTCTCTCTCTCTCTCTCTCTCTCTCTCTCTCTCTCTCTCTCTCATTGTGATGGAAATGGCGTTACACTGATTACAGATGCAGAAGAGATTGTTGGGTGGGCAGTAACCAGCTATTTAATGCACACAGCAGTACCTGATCACCATGACGGAAGACTCGTGCTACCTTTCGAGCGGTAAGTACCTTCGCGAAAAGCAATGTTGCAGGTGTCACTCTGCCTTGAGCCTCTCTAATATTCACTATATGGCTTCATTCTCGTAATATTTGGCTTCCCATTAGTGTAGGGAGGACCACACTGGTCAGTGGTCACTATGTACCATTTTTTTTGTGAAGATCTGCACATACGTGAGCACACTGCATCTCGAGAAAGACTTTATGAATTGCCTGGGTCCAGTCAGTTCAATGATGATATCGAAGGGTCGTCGCCCTTCTCACCAAATTTTTTTATTTTATTTTTTTAAAGCACTTCCAGTCTTCCAGAACTATTATGTTCTGTATTTTGCAGCTTGTCTAGTTTCATTATGTTGTAAGAACAAGTGTCAAGGACTGAAAGCTAATAGAGAAAGATTGGCACATATTTTGCATCACCCATTTCTTTCTAGTAGTTTCTACCCATCCTTGTCATACCCCCTCTTTTCTGTGCGCGTCGAGCCACTTTAAGAACCCTACCTTCTTCCCCCGAATTCAACGTATGGTCATTATAGCTGTATGCAGACTGAAAGATGCCTCAAATACAGCTATAAGGACCGTATGTTGTATTTGGGGGAAGAAGGTAGCTCAGCCAACTGTTCTTTGCTGATATTTTCCGAATCATCCACTTCTCTTGGCATCAGAGTTATGACTGATCTATCTTCCATTTCAACATACCCTGATTATGAGTGTATCTGGTCGGAAAGACAGCTTGTATACAGTAAACTATGGGGGTGCATTATGTTTGGGAAGACACAGTAATGACTAATTTATCTGCCATCTCAACATACCCTGATTATGACTGGATGTGGTCAGAAAGACAGCTTGTATACCAGTAAACTATGGGGGTGCATTATGTTCGGGGAAACACAGTAGCTCCTTGGATTTAGTGCCTGCACTTTATCCTTGTGATCTCCCAAAGGTCCGTAAAGCTGTGGTGAGTTTGGGCCCTTTGGGGTAAATTGAACCAACTTCAAGGAGTGAAAAAGTTGGCTGATCCAAAAAAAAAAAAAAAAAAAAAAAAAAAAAAAAAAAAAGTTGGCTGAGGAGAGAAGAGCTGGGGAAGGAGAAAAATGGAGTGTCACAGAACCTTCAACGNCCCCCCCCGCCCTCCTCTCTCGCCCCCTTTGCCCTCCTGCTTTTTGTGCTATATGCATGAATGGTCAGGGCACTTTTCATGTCATAGACTACCGGTAGGCGGTATCACAGGCTTCGCTGGTGTCAGAAAGGAGGAATCTGACAGTAAAAATGGTCAGGTTCATGGTTTTTGCATACGCACAGAGCAGTACCGGGCCCTGGCGCCTGACGGAGAGTGGTGGCCCCCAGCAGTATCAGCTATATTCCATTGACAACTGGATCATGAAGTATTATATCGGGAATGTGAGGGGTTTGCTGCTGTTTCTGGGCGTTCGTGCAGCGAAGCTTCACAGCGTTTATTCACATAGCGCTTGTATGAGTATGGCCTAGGGCATTGTATGATATGTTCATCTGGATTACATTAGAAGCTGGTATTCACACACGGCCTTCGATACGCCTGTGTTGTTTGTCTCTGTTGTTGTTGTTGTTATCTTATCTTTGGTCTTTGCTCGCCTTTTTCTGTAGGCTGGAATGTGGGTTGAAGCGATTTCTAGCTCGTCGCCGCGAGAACGATGGCGCAGAAGCGGCTCTGAGGAAATCTGAAGTCTCAGAGAAGACAAGTACGGCAAAGAAGGTGTGTGATTACTCGTGCATTGTGTGAAGCACAGTTGTATCGATGCCTGAACATTTCGTCCTTCCTACCGTCTTCACCCGAATAGAACACCTTGTCATTATCGTTGAACCTAGACTGCAAGTTGCCCCAAATACCAGCTATAATGACCGGGCGTTCTATTCAGGTGAAGACGGTAGTAAACGTATGAGAAATCTGCAAGCCTCATAGGGCAAAGAAGGTGTGTGACACTGTGATTACTATTGTGCATTGTGTAAAGCACAATTATATTGATGCCTGGACATTTCCTCCTTCCTAGTAGACGTATATGCTTTTGGGGCTCTTGTCGCATCCGTAGTGTGGACTCTGTTAGAATGGCGGAAGTGCAGAAATGCTCAACTGCTCTAGACTCTGCTCTGGAGAGAAGACAAGTATCTGAGAGGAAAGGAAGATGGAAAAGCATGATCCTCAAAACCTTCAAAACTTCAAAACAACTTCAGCATCATGCTGTGCTACAGCATGAATGGGGTTCTGCGAGCTCTGGCGGTAATCAGCGTTGAGGCAACAATTGCATTGTTGTGCTCCTCATCGGTTGAGCTGGCCGATGCAAAAGCATCACATCATTGAAATTGCCGATGTTTGTTCACTGTGACAACATGCTGGACCTTGCTTTCGCCGTCGGCACAAGGCCCAACGCAACACACGGCTGCTGTGAATTGAATATGCGTTGCGGTTGCATCTTCTGCATGCCCTTTGTCTGCCACATTTCGCCATGCTTGATGATCTGTTAAAAATTAAAATGTAAGAGTGAAAGATGTGCGCTATTTCCAGCACCCTTGGAAGGGCAGCGCCTCGAGTTCTTTTCTTCTTTTTTTTTTTTTTTTGTGGAGGGAAGTTGTCAATGAACCGTCCTCAGACAAATGCTCCATGAATAGGTCCCATAACTACCACGAAAATACTCCAGGTGCTGGAGAAGATTCGTGATGTACTTCGTTCCTCCTTGGGGGGGTACATATTGTTTTAGCATTTGTTCCTCCTCTTTCCTCCTTGGGAGTACCTACTTTCTGAGTAGCCTCTCGGTTTTTTTTTTTTTTTTTTTTTTTTTTTTTTTTTTTTTTTTTTTTGGTGGCCCCGTAATAAGGCCAAAAGTAGAAAAAGGATGATGGGGTTCCTCGTTCCTCCTTAGTTTATATTTTTCTGAGAGCTCTCTCTACTTTTTTTTCTCTTTGGGTCATTAATAACCGTCTGCTCGCTTGTCTTTTTCTTTTGGCTGAAGGACTGATAGTACACCTTTAAAAAAAAAATTGCCTGGACAATTTCTCTTATCATGCATGTCATCCTTGTGCAGGGGCCATGCTAATCTTCTCTGTATCGTTCCAATTTTAACGGAATGTCCTGAAGGACAAAGGGTGTGTTTTGCGTAACTCCCTTTTCAGGGAGATGTCTTTTTTTTTTCCTCGACCAGCCAAGTGACACCAACTTTGGCTGATATATGCATTCAATTTGGCGCAAATAACTTTGCATGGGCCAAATGCAAGGAAAATGAGCGGGAGCAAAACGACAGAAATCCAAATCGTGACGTCACATTGAGAGCCAGAGGGCTGAACGCTGTCCAGAAAACAGAGAGCACAGAGTTACACACAAATAGAGACCAAAGCAATGAACTCAATTGTCAATGTCAGCCGCTTCTCGCCAGCATCAACAATGTATCCAATGTCCCATCTCCTATTGGCGCTTAGCACCCAGACTCTGATCACACAGCGCCTAAACTACACTACCATGACGACGCAACCGGAAACATCAACAGCAGACCCACAGGTACGTCCTCTCTCCCTCTCTGCGCCACCTTGTCTTCCCTCACACGTTATCCCTATCTCCAACGACTGCCACCGAACCCTGCTGGCATCAACGAGCTCCAGCCCGGCTATGGCTGCGCCAAGTAGCGCCCACCACCTGCACCCCTGTGCGCCCCAACCTCCCCCACAAGTGGCCTCCCAGCTCTCATACCATTAATGCTGCTGCACAACGGGCAAGGCCAGAATGCCCCCTCTGGCTGGCGGGCATCCGATAGCAGCCTGGACTGGAGGCCGTGGTTCCCAGTAGCTTCACGTTGGCCCAAAGTGTCTGCACCCAGGCCCAATTCAGATACTGGTCTGGGAACCGAAGCAGTTAGGCAATCCCAACTGTGTGACGTGGCTTGCACAGTCCAGAGCCTCCTCATTGGCAGAGAGCCAATGTGCGAAGTTGCACACAAAGGAGGCTGTGTGGGTCATCCCAGGCCCTGGTCACACCAGGCCTCTCCAACCAACTGCCCCCTGCATTTGTCTGGCGCCCCCAAGGCCTCAGACATGGAAAAACTAGGCCGTTGGGGGACTGAAGCAATTAGGCAATCCCAACTATGTGATGTGGCTTATGCTGTTCGGTGCCTCCTCATTGGCCGAGAGCCAATGTGCGACGTTGCTCACAAAGGAGGCTGCATGGGTCATCCCAGGCCTTGGTCACACTGGGCCTCTCCAACCAACTGGCGCCCCGAATTTGTCTGGCGCCCCCAAGGCCTCAGACATGGAAAAACTAGGCCGCTGGGAGACTGAAGCAGTTAGGCAATCCCAACTGTGCGATGTGGCTTGTGCTTTTAGGCGCCTCCTCATTGGCTGAGAGCCAATGTGTGGCGTCGCGCACGAAGGAGGCTGTGTGGCTCATCCCAGGCCCTGGTCACACTGGGCCTGTCCAGCCAGCTGGCACCCTGCAACTGCTGGGCGCTCCCCCAAAGGTCTGAGAATGACAAAACTAGGCCGCCGGGGAGAATGTACAGGCCCGCCTTCACTTAGGGTGGGCGCGAGGCATGAAATGTGGGGCCCTTATGTTGCTGCCGAGGGCTCAGATCCTCGCACAAACCACTTTTGGTTAACATTTTGCCTGGTGTGGAGCACTTAAGCAACATCCCTGAAATTTTTCGTGACCTTTTGACTCCGTAAATTAGCATTAAGAATGGCCGAAGTGGGAGTACTCGGAATCCTGCACACCTGCAGGACCCCACCTTGGGTAGGATGTGCTGAAAGCCTGAAACTTCTTTCTATGTTTCCCTCGTCCACTGGAAAAAAAGAAGGGAAAAAAAAAAAAACAAGAAACGTGTCCTCGGCTGAACTACTGGTTTAAAACCACCACTGTCCACCAGTACTTCCCGGAAGTCGCGGCGTGCATGCAGCCAGCCATTGCTACATTGCCATGATGTTTCCACTTGGACCAATTTATTCCAGCGCCCCAGGCTCGTTCATCCCAGCAGGTCGCAGCGCACATGCGGCCTCTATTTTCAGAAGTACTGCCGGGTCAACAATGGAAAAAGTTGGAAACCCATCATTTTCAAAAAAAAAAAAAAAAAAAAACTTGTGATCAGGACTACAATCTACTTTATGGAGGAACACCTACCTGGCCTTTGATCATCATGACTTGCTAGTGCATGGGGGTTGTCTTCATGCGGGACACTGCCCTTGTTTTTTTCAGAATTGTGTTCTTTAAACTTCTTTTATATGTGAGATGCCATAAATACTGTTTCTCGTAAATGATACTCAAATCCAGTCGTTGGCTACTCTTATTGGTTAATGGTGCCTTTCTTGCCCGTCTTGTTTTCAATTCTCGCCTTTTCGTTTTCTTGTTTTTTCAAGCCTTCATTCGGAGGGAGCTAGTGCAGTGTTTTGTTTTCTTTTGTTAAACTACCAGTACTTCCGAAAGTCGTGCCAGTTAACAAAGCCACAACTTTACGAAACGTACGCGCCACTACAGAAGCGCCCGAATTCATCCGACTAGAAATGTTTCTGCTCTTGTCTGTGGGCGGCCAGTAGCTGGGCCAAGTACTGGTGGTTTAAACTTTAAAGTGTGAAATTGACGCACCTGAGCTGAGGGTCCACAGGATTTTCACCTGGCGAAAATTCCCCCCATCGAGTGCGTATCAAGCTGGACACTGGCGGGCTGGTGCATGGAAAACACATCATCATTATATATCATGGGAGAAAACTTGCGAAGGCCTCAGCGGTAAGTCTCCATTTTGAAGATGGCAGTAAGGTAAGGCGAGGGTATATTTCTTTCTTCTCTTCAAATTTTCTTGTTTTGGCTGAGATGGAAGATTCACCTCACTTTGGTGTTTGTTTTGTGGCGACCACTGATCAGAGCACAGACCCAGCAACAGAGAAGCGCACTGAAGCGGAGTCAGCCAAAGCACGGCAGGGTCCATCCTCCACCTCTAGTGGCGAACGCACGTTGGACACTGCAAAGCCGTCCTCGGAACCTGAGAAGAAGAAGACCGCTACGACGGCCACCTCGACTACCCCGGCTGCCTCGACAGAGCCAGCAAAGAAACCTGTTACAGCTGCTCCTAAGGAGCCGGTGAGCTCCCTCTGCCTCTCGTCCGTCAGAAATGGTGTCATTGTGTTCTCTTTATGATGGATGCCGCTAAACCACAGTTACTTCCGCACGTACTTTCTCATGCATGTTGGCTTTCCCGGTCCTGCAGCACCGAACCTGAAGTTGTGAGCCTTTGGCGGGCGTCACCGCACAGGGGTTCTCAAGAATGGCTACCTTCAAAGAGTTGCAACCCTGCGAAGGCGAGCTAACCTCAAAAACCCGGTCTCAGTTCGGATTGCAGGCTGCAACTCGCCTACAAAGTTGTGAACCTTTGGCGGGCGTCACCGCACAGGGGTCATTTCATTGGTAACCTTGTCCTCAAGAACGGCGACTTTCTTCCCCTGAATACAATATATGGTATGGTCATTATAGCAGTATTTGGGTTATCTTTCAGTCTAGATACTAAATACAGCTATAATGACCGTAGCCACCATATCTTCGGGGGAAGAAGGTAGTCCTAGAAGGAATGGCAAATGCCCTTCCATCAACAAGGGCTCCCTGCTAGGAGGGGTGATAAGATCACCCCCTCCTAGTGAGCATCCTGGATGGAGATCCCACTACCGATGTATGTGGAGTAGTGGAGCGGCTGTGTGACTTCGAAGGACCGTGGATCAGAACTGGATATCTGTGGTGTGTTTTTATTTGTATTTACGCGCCGGGACATACGTGTGTTTTGGGGGCCTCCCATTGGGTGGTATTTCTTTTGTTTTTGAACAAGTGTTCCTCTCGGGGTTCCAAACGTGAGTGAAAATCATATCCATTTTTTTTGTGATGATTTCCACACACACCTGCTCACCTTTGGGTCATTGGCCATGTTTGGAAGACAGGCCCCGAAGTGGTGGTGGTTTGGGAGGTGTTTTGGAGGGTTCGATCCCCTCACCTACAGCAAATGGTGTATGGAGTTACTCTTGCCCTCCTTTGCCAAAGAGAATTTCTGTCAGAACAACCGAGAAGCGTGCACTGTGGCCCATTTCAAGGAAGCCTCTGAGTATTGTCAATGAATATGGTCCATGTGCCGGATCACATGCAGTCGTTTTGACTGCCACAGCCATGGGCAGTGAATCATGCCCTGACATCTTTGACACCCCGGCTGGAGCAGACCATCTGTGAGAAAATCACTTTCCTTTCTTTTTTATAATTTTTTTCTTCATTTGTTTGGTCATGAAACGGTTTTTTGCATTTATTTGCCCTATTTCACACTGCCACCCACCTGTCCCCCACCCATCCCACACCCGTAACACTGAGGGTGGGACCCCACTGGACGACGGCAAGCCTTTTGAAGATACTTTTTGGGACTCCACTGCTGGCGGCAAACACAAGCATTTTTGTTTCCACTCTGCCTACCTTCGCTTTTTCAGCACACCAACCAATCCCCATGCTTCCTTTCCGCACGAGATGGGTGAATCTAGAGGGTGTGTTTGCCTACCTCTAGAGCTTGGCAAACGCACCTCCCTTGTGGAAAGGAAGCACGGGGATTGGTTGGTGTGCTGAAAAAGCGGAGGCAAACTTGCCCGAAAAGGCAAGTCTTCCTGATCGGGTAACATAAACCTTGGGAAGTGCCAAAAATTGCTGTGGCGGTGCAGTCCATTCTCGATTGCCCATTCCCGTCTGCTAAGATTCTGGGCTGGGGGATGTTTTCCTGGCGCCAATCAAAAATTCCGCCTTCGAATAAACTCTAGAAGCATCATGGAACCATGTCACGAAAAAGGTTTCATTGAGGTCAACCTTCACGGACACCAAAATTCCCACTTCACGCATGCCTCTCTCCTCAGGCCACCATAGCTAGTTCTCCCAGATAACAACAAAGTGAATCCCTCTACCAGTTTCGTCTGCCCACAGCGCGGACTCATCAGGAAGGTGCGCTCTACACAAGCATTTCTGTCGAAAGAGGCCGATGCCCTTGCCTCTCTTACAATATAGCTTCCCAATACGCCTTCCTATGCCTATGCCTACATCTATAATCCTATATCAAAAGTGTGCGGGGCTATAGCCTCTCTTCGAAGCGTTACATAGTGGTCTATTTCTCTAAAATAGCCGTAACTTTTTTAAAATTTTGACGAATCGAATTTTATTTGACAATTCGAAAAAAAAAACGAGACAGAAGCAATGCAAAAATATTAGCACAAAATCGTATCCGGGTCTCCGGGACCCTGTGTTCTGAATCTGCGAGGGCAAACAGTTCAACGGGTTCTTGTCCCGTCGCTGCAGTGCCGAAACTGAAAAGATGAAGATAAAAGTGGAAAATAAAGTCCATAAAAAGGAAATAGAAATAAAAATAGAATCACCCGTTGGACAGTTACAACCGTAGTCATTTATTGCCGTCTACTGTCAGTGAAAGTCGATGGTCTGGACTTCTGTCGTTCTTTCGGAGATCCGGCATCGATCCTACCGTCTTCACCCGAATAGATCGCCCGGTCATTATAGCTGCATCTGGCACAACTCTCGGTCCAGATGCAGCAATAATGACCGGGCGTTCTATTCGGGTGAAGACGGTAGCCCAAAGTTTTCTCTGTTCGAAGAACAGTGTAAAAGCTTCGAGCAGCAGTCCCAGTGTCCCGGTCCCCGTAGCTCTCTGACCAAGAGGACCAGTTGGTACACGGGGGAGCTCTTGAAATACAGACCCACGTTCGAATCAAGGGCCAGAAGTAATCAAATGAACAGATAAAACTGCAAGAAAAATAAATTTGAGAAAATCTGACAATGATCGTGTGATGTGACTCGTGTTGATAATGTTTTTTTAATTGTCTGCGAATGTTGTCCGGTTGTCATGTGGTGGATGATGCTCACAGGAGCCAGCGGCAGACAATGAATTTGAGAAGAAGATAAGGTCTGAAATGATCGCGCCTGGGCGAGTAGGTGTGTCCTTCGATGACATCGGTGCGTTGGACAAAGTAAAGCAAACACTGCGAGAGCTCGTGATGCTCCCACTCAAGCGACCTGAAATTTTCAGCCGGGGGAAGCTCATGAAGGTATGCTTCCCCAAATCTCAGCCAGCCTCTAATCCACCCCTCTTTTTTTTCCCCCTTTTTTTTCTAAAGGGTGTTAGCCCGTAGCCTTGTTGATCCCAGCTGATTCCATGAGGCGGATTCAAACTCATGTCCTGTTTATAAGTTTATAGCTGCTGTCACGTGTGCGCAATGTTCGATCATGTGGGTTTGGTGAATCACACATCCATTGCTGCCAGCGTCGTAATTGTGCCTTTTTTTTTTTTCCCCTGTTCTAAATTGTTTTAAGTTTTAACGTTTTTGGATTGTAACGTTTGCATTCACGAGGAGGCCACTTGCTGAGGCTGCAATTCTATGACTTCCATGCATCCCTCCACACCCTTCAGCCATGGCTCTGATTGGCTTGACCGACGTTCCCTCCATTTAAGAATCTTTTGATTCGTTTCCTCGTTCTCAATGCCCATCTTGTGCTTTGTGCGTTGCCTAACACCAGCAAGGCAGGCCTCTATGTTTCCCTCAATTGGAGGCTTGTTTTTATTGTCGTCATTCTCAATGCCTGTCGCATCCATTGCCTAACACCAGCAAGTCAGACAGATACCTTAACCCGTTGTTATGTCCAAATCACAGTCCCAGCAACTCTGGTTGACGCTAGATAAATCCGTCGAAGATCTTTTTGCCTTTTCTTTTTCTCTCTTTAATATGGCCCAAGCCATAAATGCTCCAGGAAGAGTTATGGTGCTTACCCCCGAGGATGACAGTGTGGCGTCTGTCGAAACGTGGCCACTTAAACTGTCAGTATGTTGCATACCGTATAGG